ATTTAATGCAAAAGTATGATAATTATATTAATGATATTACTATAACTTATTTCCTATTTAATAATAATTAATATGACCTTGCTAACAAATTTGATTGTGGGAAGGAGTTGTTCCCCTCATGCTTTGAATTCACTTTTTCTATAATTAATTGTTATTTTTAAGTTCATCCTCTATGTATTCATATATTTATATATATATATATATATAAAACATACCTTACATCTTTTCTTGTTTTGTGTTTTTAGTTGTGTATGTTCGTTTTTTTCTGATTTTTTTTTTCTTTTTATATTTATTTCTTAAGTAACCTTAATTTTTAAATGCTATTTTTAAATTCATTTTTTATAAATATTCCTACGGCCCAAAACTTACGAATATGACCCACAGCCCACGTGTTATTCGTTGTCAGAACCCCAGTAAATCCAACGGCTATTAATAGGGTTCCACAAGATAATTCAATAGTCTGTCCGTATGCAATCAAAACCACACCAAGCAAATGACCATATATGTCTGAATATCAGAATAAGCCACGTGTCATATTCTCTTCCACATCAACCAAAAATCTAGGGGCCCCGAAATTGCTGTGGCTACCCTCAATTGTAAGTTGTTAGCACGAAATTCTGTATTTACCCTCCTATTTTACTCTCTTCAGCCCTACATCCAGGGCTAATTATGTAATTTCATATTATCCAATATGGATAACTCCACGGATTTCACGGCTAACCCGCAGAATTTTCCTCATGTTCCGCTCCAATATTAACTTACCGTACAACTCTTTTCTTTACGAGTAAATTTTCTCGGCAAAATCCATTTTTCTTGTTGGAGCTGACTGAGAAGGAAAGTGGCGGAAAATATTCTTTGAATTTTGTTTTAGGTGAAAGCAAAAATGCATTCCCTGACGTTTAAAGGTTTCACTGATTTTAACACGGGGACGAGAATCTCTTGGCCAGGTCGAGAAAATAGCGGTTGCGTTGGGTTGGAGGTAGCGAGGACGCGGGTTGGACTGGGTTGGAGGGATCTCACCAGGAACTGTAGGATTATGGCCTGTGCGTTGGAGAGGGACGAAGGTGGTGGCACTGGAAGGGAAAGCCCTAGTTCGGGATCGCGTTCGGACTTCGGTACGGGTTTGAACATGAGTGCTAGTTCGTTCCTGTCGCGGAGCCAAACTTATGCTACGTTGAAGCAGCAGATGGAGGTCGCCGCCAGAGCGGAGGTTTGTGATAGTGTGTTGTAGGATTCTATCTATTTCGTATTGTTTTTTCTATTTGTAGTCGGACTATTTTTTTTTTTCTTGCAATGTTTGTTTAATGATAGAGTAAAATTTTGGGTTGAACTCTATGGTTTATTGGTTTGAAGTTATTTTTTCTTTGGGAAAGCTTTTTGAATTTTATGACAAAACTTTACAGCATTCGTTGAGAAGAAAATGAAACGGCTTTTAGAAATATATGTCTTTTGGAAAGCTGGTTTGGTGCTTTTGGAAATGAAATTCATTTTTTTCCCTTATTATGTCTCTGCATTATGCATCTCAGTATTATTGTTTTCTCTTTCTTGAATGGAAGGTTGAACTGTTCTTGGTCTCAAGAAAAACAAAAAAAGAAAAAAAGATTGAAATTTGCCCAAGTCATGTTTTTCTGAAAACTGCTTAAGACACGTTTTTTGTCATGGCCCTTAAGGAAATGCAGGAATGAAGATGAAGTTCAAATACCCGTTTGGATAGCTTCTACTTCTAAAAAACGTTTTTGGCTAAAACCAAAAGCTAAAATCTGTTCTTCATAGATTTAAACACAGAAGCTAAAAGTAGTAGTTTTTGAAAAACTGTTTATGGTTTCAACATTTTCTTTCCAATACTATCCTTGACTAATTTGAAAATTATATATTCTCTTTTCTTTCACTTTATCCAATTGCCATCCACTACTGTCTGCTAGCCACCGCCTGCCACTTGTCGTGAGATTGTGCATTTAAGGCAGCTGTACTTTCTACTATGATTTTTTTTTTTGAAATAAACTTTGTATTGTGAGTTTTAAATGTGTTATTAAAATAATTATTCACCAAAAATACTTTCAAAAGTTGAAGTTGTGTGTTTGATGAAAATGCTTTTGAGATTTCTATTATAAATTTTTATCGAAATTCTGCAATTTTTTAAGAGTTAGAAATTGTAGCTTTTTGTTGTTAAACCTATCAAAAACAGATTTTGGTGTGGGTTTTTGCAAAAATCACTTTTTATTTTATTCATTTGGTTGCAAAAGTGCTTTTTGAGATGCAAAAACCAAAGCCAAAAGCTGCCCCAAATGGGGGCCTTAATGCCTCTTATTTTTTTACCCATCTGTTTATGTAAGTTAGGCTTGTTGTTTTGGGGAAGTGTAACATAAACAATTTGTAATGTACTAATGTTTTTGTTGCGTGTAAGCGTCATATATTTACTTTTGTTCTTTGGGTTTGGCATGGAAAGTTTCCACTTTCTTTTCATTTGCAAAAGTGCTTTTGAAACACGAAAGTCAAAGACAAAAGCTTCCCCAGACT